GATAATAATTGATATTTCTATTACAAAACAGTTGCAGCTAATATTTTAGTCATTGTAACTTGCAGAAACTAATAAGAACATTGTACTACATAGTATTACGTATCGAAGGAGTCTGGTCAGATCATGAATGTATGGTAGTTTCACAAAGCAGAGTTTTAGACTGCAGCAGAACCGCATGAATCCATGGCAGTGCTTTTTTTATTCAAGACTGTCGATGACAAGATTCATGACGATGCGCAGATCGACACGAGCTTCTGGGTTCACGCCAGGTGGAAGAGCTGCATTCGGGGGGATCGATAATATTCTGCGCATGTCGAAGGAGACATTGACAGCTGGTTGAGATCTGGTGCGTCGTCGAAACGTTCCACTTGCAGTTGGCGCTGGTAGAGTGCCAAGTACGGCGATGTCATAAAGCGCGTATCGCATTTGAACACCTTGAGGACTGATTTTCAGCAGGAGAATATACTGGATTCCACTGTAATTGCACCACCATTGAGCAGCTGCTTCCAGACTCGCCCACGTCTGAGATCTTCCAACCTCCACAGCCAGTGTCACCCAATCGGTAGCGGTGCGGGGTGCCGGTGCCGGTGTTCGGTTGAGCGTCGTTCTCTTTGGGCCAAAACTCGTATCGGCCTCCTTGTTCGGGTTGCCAGCTATTCTCGCTGTCATCGAGCGGCAACTTGCAACCTCGAGATCATTGCCTGATGCCCGATTGAACATTTTATCGAAAGATGCCGCAGTGCTTTCATGCACTTTCGTTGGAAGTTCGACAATCACGATACGCCCATCGTTGAGGGCGAGAAATCGAAGTGGAATCCGCAGCCCTTCGCCGTCTCCAACATACTCATTTGAAAGCAGCAATAGAGACTCCCTCACAAACGACGTACGGATCAAGTTTCGTCGTCATCTTGATCGAAGTAAGTCGCAATCACTTTCAAGCTTCAGCGCATCCATGGCGCCGCGGAATTTCATCGGCGGTTTTTGAAGGTCGTCATACTTGCTGCAACTGTTGATGGTTGGCCGACCACGTCGTAATATTGCGCTGAAGAACAATACGAATCCCCGTCGCAGTATGCGCTCATTTTTCTCTTCTCTTTCTTGAAATTGAGCAAAGGTCTCTTCTCGAAATGGGTGTAGATCTTAGGAAAAAGACCACCCTTGTTCTCAGGTTGACGTATGCATACCGAAACGAAGCTTCTTGGTTTGTTCCTACCAAGAGTGTGGGGTCGAGGACGGAATCTGAGAAAAGAAGATTATCAGCTGAAAGCTTCCCCGCGCAGAATTAAGTCTGCGAACTAAATAAACAGCAGTTCAGACAGTCCTGATGCCAGTACAGTACTGCACCCCGTTTTCGCGCCATTGGACCTTTCGGATGTTATGATACCGAATCCAAATGAGCAAAAGTCTATTAGCTAAAATCTGATTTATTGGCAAATCCTATATGGTCCACCACGCGAAAACGGGGTGCAGTACTGTACCACCAAGCTACCGGTATCACAAAAGTGTAAGAAATCAATTTTGACGGGGTGCTCTTATTTTTGCTACTTTCTACTTTCTTTCTTACGAATATTATATAAATCTTGGTAAGCAATATTTCGAAAGTCCTAATATCCCATCATATGTTATCCTCGAGCTTCAAAAGAGTCGAAAATGGATCGATTACTGCGTCGTGGCCCAGGGCCAGCGAGTACAGCGACGGCGATGGACGTGCATTAAAACTCCCTCAGAACGTGGAGGACACGCTGGCCAAAGTATCTTCCTCGTGTTGCAGTCCTGTATCAAGTTGACTGCCAGGTCTCTCCAACGTCTCATGTACAGGTTTTGCCCTCGGAGGACCTGCTGGACCGACCTGAGTTCGATGCGCGCGAGTTCATCAACCGAAACTTTCCGGACGAGCAGAGTCTGGGGGACATTGGTGACTTTGTGAGCGGTCTCCGCGGGCGTATGAAGGAGCTCGACGACTCGCTGTCTCGGGCGTCACAAGACCAGAGTTTAGCGGCGCATCAGGCGCTTCTGGATCTGAAGGAAGCGAAAACGGCGAGTCAGCAGCTTTCCACAAGATCCACGATATCCGAGGGAAGGCAGAGCAGTCCGAGGTCATGGTGCAGGAGATCTGTCGCGACATCAAGCAGCTCGACTATGCTAAGCGCCATCTGCAGACCACGCTCACGGCGCTAAAGCGGCTGCACATGCTGGTTAATGCCGTTGATCAGCTAGAGTTTATGTCCTAGCAACGTAATTATCGCGAGGCCGCATCTTCGCTCAAAGCTGTCAACTAACTCTTCACCTGTGCGCACATTGCAGGAAGAACTTGGCGGACAGATCTTTGCCGACTTTCGGTCTAATGGCCCAATAGAGTCGTTGGAGGACAATTTCCATCCGAAGAAGAACGACAAGCTGTCTTTGCCAAGCTCGCGGCTGCGTGTGTCGATGCCTTGGGCAAAGCAACCAGAGAGAAACTGGTCCATTTATTCTGTGACGAACAGTTGATGTCCTACCAGAGGCTTTACGGATACGGGGGAGAGTGCGCTGGGTTGCACCAGGCTGAAACGAGATACACGTGGTTCTACAATCTCCTCGCTGCATCGACGATCGCTTGAACGCTATTTTCCCAAAGCATTGGCGAATGGCTCGACGGATGTGCATTCAGTTCTGTGAACGAACGCGGACCCATTTACTTGCACAGATAGGAGCACACACTCCAGACGAGATGGACGTGACTTTGCTGCTGAAGTCTCTACAACGAACGCTCATGTTTGAACGTGACGCAGCACAGCGCTTCGAAGGGATGGCCGATGAAGAAGAGCTTCAGAAAGTGGAACTGGACGAGAACGGCGATGCCATTGACCCACATTCCGCTGAAGGAATCAAGAGAAAACATCGTCGTAAGAAGCGTGAGGCGGAGCGTAAAGCGCTAGAAGAAGAGATGGAGAAGAACGGCGAGCTCACGGACGACAATAACCAGGGCTTGCCGACTATTCGGGAATGATATCTCGTTCATTTGACCCGTTCATGACGGCGTATGTAGCACTGGAGCGTTAAGAACATGGAGCAGGATGATCAACGAGGTGATGAGTGCCGAGTTGGTGGATCGGAACGGCCAGCTGCCCAGTGTTCTCGAGCTCCGTGAACATGTTTGCCCTACATTCGCAATTCAATAAACGATGTACGGCCCTGACAAACGGCCAGACGTTCTTTGACCTCCAGAACGAGTTCAAACACTGCTTTCAGCTCTACTCGCAACGACTTCTCGCGAAACTCCCTGCTGCCTCGACTGGGTCATCAGGCGGTCTGGATTCTTCAAGCAGTGGTGCGAGCAACAAGGTCAAATTGAGCGATAAACAGGAAGAGGAACTATGTTTCGTAATCAACACGGCCGAGTACTGCGCTGAGACGCTGCCATCTCTGGAGGAAGTAATTCGAGCGAAGATTGACAAGGCGTTCAGTGAAGCCATTGAGTTATCGCAAGAGATCGATACGTTCCACGACGTGGGCGCCGCAGCTATGAAAGTGTATTGTTGCTGGAATTGGAGACATCGCTGGATGACGATTTGAACGCACTCCACAAAGGCCAACTGGCAGACCATGGGAAGCCGTGGGCGACGAGAGTTTGTACGTTACGCAAATGGGCGAGAAGCTGCAGACATTTGTGCCGGTGTTGCGCCAAATGCTGTCTGGACTGTACTTTACCAACTTTTGCGATAAGTTCGCGGCGTCCTTCGTGCCCAAGATCTTGCAGGCCCGTGTTCAAGTGCCGAAGGATGAACCAGGTAGCAACGCAGCAACTTCTTCTTGACGTGTACGCTCTCAAGACGTTGTTCCTTCAACTGCCAGTGCTGAACAACGACGGCTTCCAATCCTCTTCCACCTCAACGAGCTCAGCGACGATCCCGTCGCGTTACACCAAGTTCGTCTCGAACGAGATGGCGACGGTGGAAAACGTGCTGAAGCTAATTGGCACTCCGAACGAAATGCTTGTCGAGAGCTTCAAGATCATGTGGCCTGAGGGTTCTGCGGAGGATTTTCAGAATATTATGGCTGTGAAAGGGCTCAAGAAGAGTGAGCTGGCGGCGTATCTCGACACATTGGGGATGCAGCGCAAGCCCACGGGTAAGATCGCGGAAATGGAGGGCAAGATGAGCGACATGACGGAGAACTGGAAGAAAAACATGCAGAACTTTGCCAAGGTGCCTTTCACATTCACGGGCGGAATGAACACCAATGCACATCAACAGGGCTAGCTTGCAACTATCCGAGCAAAAAAAACATTTGACTGCAAATGCGCTCACTCAGAAACACAGTAAATACGTTCGTAAAGTGCCAAAGCGACAGATGCAATGTCAACACACCATTTAATCTTAATATGCACTTCAGGGTTCAAAACCTTTGCGAGTCCAAATCGGTGACAATGTAAAGCAAAGTGGAACGTCCCGTAATTAATTTTTTTAATTTTTGAAATTTTTTTTTTTAGAAAAAGCCTGTCATGCAAAGTTGATTTAGTGTAGTGCAAAACTTTACGTGCCGTACTCCATAGGTTCGCTACGAATTGCTGCCGCCACTGACAGCGCACAGTGGCGCGCCATCTTGTTAACCAAGCGCAGATCCATACATGGCAAGCTATGATCTGCAGCGTTTTCAAGCAGCTGCATCCGGCGCTCTGTTTTCTCTCCGTGTGGAGCAAGAAATATTTCGTCATGACTTAAGGCAAGATAAGCCTTAATGCGTGCTTTTAATACACTAAAACACCCTGCCGCACAGTAAAATAGACACAAATGTTAGTACATGTGCACGCTATAATTGTCTGTAAAACGTACCCTCAATCGGGTTACACATGGGGGAGTATGGCGCCAACCGCAACAGCTCCAAGTCCTCCTGCTCAGTAATCAGATTCTCAGTCTGGCTATGAGCAGGAGCGTTGTCTAAGACAATGACAACCGTCTTGCCAGCGAAATGGTCGCGGTACACGTCGTGCACTTAGTGCATGTCACCCGCGCGCCGCCTCTCTTCTTGATGTCCGGGGTTCCTCGCTCGACGATAGTCCGAGCCGTTGTAGCTGAAATTCCGTTGCAATCGGCTACTAAGGCCCAGTCCTGCCCAGCCTTGTGTGCGTCGAGAACGCGTGTCCGGGCCGCGAGGCCATGCTTTGGTTCTGTTGGCGTGATGCCAGAAGAAGAGGTTTTGATGCCGACCACCAGTTAGCTCTGCACTAAATCGCCATTGCTCTAAAGTCAATTTTTGAAAATAAAAATTAAAAATTTCTTTGTCACTTAAGTTACTTCACACCTGTAACGGGGTACGTAGCCCTAAGTGTACCCTGGTTACATGAAGTGTGACACTTCATACTCCGGGATATTTGGTACAAGGTACTAAGGTCGTTCAAAGCCAACCATTGGTTAAATGACATTGCATTCCTATAGGTAATAGTTTGTATTAAACCCAAGCTTAACCTACCTATCAATATACCCAGTTTACATTCTACCTTAATTAGGTCATTTGAATAAAGAGGGGGCCTGTGAACTGCCGTTCACTGAGAGTTAGTATACTCTCGAAAGATAACTTCCTCTAGCGCAAGGTGCTGTGTGACCCCGTCACACTTGGTAGCACTCGTAGTCAATCCACGCCACCGCGGGTAGACTACCTGAACCTCTCCGAAGCTGGAAAGGAACGATTTCTCCCATATGAACGACTCTCAGTTCGAGTCGGTTCGGAAGATGGCAGGCATCTTCGGGATGGAGGCCCTGCAGAGCCTGGTTGTGTCAACACCGGCCGAGCAGCTCGAGCGCGTCAATGCGTTCGACGCGTACGAGCAGGGCCTCATCGCGCATGTGCGGGAGAGCCTGCAGGCTCCGGCGGCGGAAGCAAATCCGCCTCACCCGAAGCCAATACGGCTGAAGGTGAAGCCGTATGAAGGGAAGGAAGGCGAGAACCCTCACTTCTGGGTCCGAGAAGTAGAGCTCGCGATGGACGCGGCTCTTATCTCGACCGAGCAACTGCGTGTTGCTTTTGCACTCTCCAACCTTAGCGGTCGTGCTAAGCGTTGGGGTGTACACACGGGAAGCAACGTCCCCTGGATGTTTCACATCCTGGGCTCAGCTGTGTGAACAGCTCCGAGGCGCGTTCCTCCCGGCAACCTACGAGTACCGCCAGCGTTCGCGCTTCCTCTCGTGTAAACAAGGGAGGCGTGAGCAGCACGAGTACGTGCAAGAGATACGGGAGCTCACGGCGTCCCTAGTGGGAAACCCACTCAACGAGCACGTCAAGATGACTGTGCTCATGGACAGCCTTCGAGTTGGCCCCGCACGCACTCAGCTGTTCCGGGTGCAGTCAAGCACCCTTGAAGAGGCGATTCAAGTGGCTCTTCAAAAAGGGTACAGCCATCGCCAGGCGCGTACGCCGGCCTCCGCGTGGCCTGGGAGTTCCTTGTCGGCTCCCGGTCGAACAAGCCCCAACGGACCAGTTCCTATGGAACTCGGAGCCGCCGAACAGCGTGACATCCGCTGCTTCGGCTGCGGGAAAATGGGCCACTTCAAGCGCGACTGTCCCGCGGAAAGACTTTGCAGACGGTCCTTCCCCAAGCCCGTCCTCAAGGGTCGCTGGCAGAAGCCAGGATCCCGAGGACAGGGGAACGCAGGGAACCAGTAGGGGCGGGGCGCCCTACTGGGGAAGAACGAAGTCTTCGTGATGGGTGCGCGGGTGGCGCGTACCACGGGACTTAGCCCCTGAGAGTCTTCGCACTCTCGAATCGGCGAAGAGCAGCGGCGGGTTGCTCGTAGTACACGGATGTGTACGGGGATCGATCATCCCTTTAGAATCTTGATCGATTCTGGGGCGTCGAAGAATTTCGCACGCCGCCAGACGGTTGCTCGCAGCAGCAACAAGTTGTCCGATGCTTTGAGAGAAAGCAAGGGCAACGAGACGGTGTCAGTGCGATTGGCCGACGGGAAGGTCGTCACTGTCCCCAACTTCCAAGTGGATCTGGCCGTCAAGTTTGAAGACTTTGACAGCCTCGAACAGTTCACTGTTCTCGATATGGATCCATATGATATGATCCTGGGCATGCCCTGGCTTGAGAAGCACGAGCCCTGGATCGACTGGCGAGGCAAGGCAATCGGTGCCAGCCGCCCTGCGCAGTCTGACAGAGCATTGGTGAGTCATGTTCCCACCTCTGTAAGGCCCCGGGGCGCCCGCAAGGGTTGCCAGGGTACCAAAGCAGCCGGCAGATGCTTGGGAGTCGTCAACGTATATGACGACTCCAAGGTTGTTTTGATGGTGGCAGCGCCCAGAAGAGGCGCTGGCCAAGTGGGTAACCTAGGTCCACAAGCGGGTAACTTTGTTCCGCTGACAGCTGCAGCTGCCACGAACACTGAGAACATCGTGTTCAGAGTGGGTAGAAGAGTTCCCCTCACGGTCGCCCAGACCTTAACTGAAGAGGAAGACGTCGGATACGCTTCCTGTGTGGGTAACACAGTACCACACGCGGTCGCCCAGACCTTAACTGAAGAGGAAGGCGTCGAACACGCCTCCTGTGTGGGTACCATAGTACCACACGAGGCCACGAGTGCCTCGGATGTCGTAGCGCCGACATCCCTAGACGTGGGCAGCAAAGCTCGACGTCACGGTCGCCGTCGTCAACGACGCCGCCGCCGCCTCAAGTCGGATCCAAACTTCGTTCCGATCGACGTCGCCTCAAGCGACTCGAAGTCCAGGGCCCGAACTCCTCCGACAAGGCCGGTGGAAGAGTGTTATCACTTCTTCGATGGCGAGACAGGTTTACCCGTCAAGGCATCTGGTGTCCACTTGGAACCGTTGCCAGAGGTTGCAGAGATACTGAACCTCGAGGAAATGACGGCTGAGTCTTTCCTGGCCAACCTCAAGGCTGGAGAGATTGCTGAGATGGTACTCATGAGACCTGAGACCACTCAGGAGGAGCTGAACGCCTCCTCTGTCTTGGACGAGAACGTCCTGGAAGACATGAACAAGCAGCGTCAGGCGCGCTTGGGTTCTGAGATTCTCAAGAACCCCAAGAATCCGGTGTATCCTTTGGTGACGGAGTATGCGGACGTGGTGAACAAACACCCACCGACCCAACTCCCACCGGATCGAGGCGTACGGCACGAGATTGATCTCGTGCCCGGCACAAAGTATTGTGTCACGAGGCAATGGCCTCTCCCGCGCGAACAGTGCGAGGTCATTGATGCCTTCTTCGCCGCAAAAGCGAAGGCAGGCATGGTGCGGGAGTCGAAATCCCCGCACTCGACGCCGACTTTCTGCGTTCGTAAGCCGAACGGAAAGTGGCGTCTGGTTCACGCTTATAACAAGCTGAACAACGCAACGGTGCCGGCCCAAACACCGATCCCACGAAAGGATGTGTTGTTGAACAACATGGCCGGGAGCGTACTGTACAGTGCGCTGGATTTGGTAGACGGATACTACCAAATCCTGATGCGAGAGAGTGACATCCCGCTCACCGCGGTAAGCACTCCAAGCGGCATGCTTTGGGAGTGGCTCGTCATGCCGCAGGGCTTGTCTAACGCCCCGGCGACGTTCAATCGCCTGGTGACGCAATTGTTCCGCCCTTTGCGTACCTTCGTACAGACGTACTTCGACGACATTTTCGTCCATAGCCGTGCCGAGGGAGGCAAGACGGCCATGGAGGTACATCTAGGACACCTCCGTCGAGTGTTGGACGTGATGCGAGCGAACAAGCTCTACGCCAACATCGACAAGTGCGTTTTCGCGTCACCAGAGATCAAAGTTCTCGGTTGCTTCGTAAGCAACGTGGGCGTTCGGGCTGACCCAGACAAGGTCAAGGCCATAGCAGCATGGCCGACGCCCCGATCCCAGAAGGATCTTCGAAAGTGGTCGGGCTTGGCCAACTACCTTCACAAGTACAGCGCAGGGTACGCGGGCTTCGCTAAGCTCTTGTCGAGCCTCCCTCAGAAGGACGTCGACTGGCGCTAGGAACAAGAGCACCAGGATGCTTTTGACAGCATCAAGGCCAGTCTCCAAGTGGCCCCTGTCCTGGCTCTGCCGGACGAGACGAAGCCGTTTAGCGTCGTCTGCGATGCCTCCGATTACGCCATCGGGTGTGCATTGCTGCAGGACGACACGGCTGGACAGGAACGAGTCATCTCGTTCCAGACCAGGCAGCTCAAATCCGCCGAGCGGAACTACCCTGTCCATGACAAGGAGCTTCTGGCAATGAAATATGCCCTTGTGAAGTTCCGTGTTCACCTTCTGG